TACTAACTTATAGAGTGTTAGTGTTTTATTTAAATCAGGTATTAGTAAAAAGATTCAAGGAAGATGAGTTTGCATAAGAATCGACGATGACTAGCTAGCATCGATCGACAGAGCATCAAGAATATCGATCGCCACTTAACTGTGCTGATCGATACTCACATCAAAGCATGTATATAGTCTTTGTTAAATATTTTCCTTATGGTTTATTGTCCCACCAATCTTAGGCTGTATAACATTGGTCACAGTGTTATTTAAGTCTGGCGGAGGTTCTACTAATATTGTGTGTTTAGTTAGATATTTAGAAAAGCAGACCCGAGTAGACGATTACCATGATAATCGACCGACGAGAACCATCAATATCGATCGACAATACATCACTTACATCGACCGATGGTAACTCTTTTTCATCGATCGATAATTAATCCGGTCAGGTATATCGTTCTTACTAGTTAAATTTGTACTTCTACTTTATGACTTTCACCTTACCACCGACTGTGTTACACTGGGGACAGTGTAATTTAAGTCTGGGGGGATTACTAACGTTTATCTACTTTATGAGTCTTATTTAAAATATTTTCAAAAAGTTTTTTATTGAGTCAAGAAGGGGATGATGATCTATTTCGATTTATTACTTGTCATATAACCACTCTTTAGACTAGTCTTAGATTTACTTATTGTAGAAGTACTAGAGATACTAAAGTGGATCAACCTGTCAACTATGTTTGCACTTGCTGAAAATGTTTGAAGGAACCAAAGCTGACCTCCAACCTAGTATTGACTTGATTTTTTTGTCTTGGGACTTGGTATACAAGGGATCGGAATCCTCCTGCAAGTCTGGAAGGTATAAGTCTGTAAATTTTTGGTTTCCTTCTCTCCTTCCTTTGGCATCCCAAAAAGAAAAATAAAAGATTGAGATGATTTCCTGAGAGGCAAAGGGAGAGGTACATTACCCTTGACCCCACTATTCTAATTCAAAGGAATGATCACACATTGTGCAAGCAAGGGAGATGTACATTACCCATGACTCCACTATTCGCCTACACTTTGTCAGAAAAAGCTACAAAAAGTAGAAAGATCAATAAGATGAACATTTGTTGTTCATTGGGATTGATATAAAAGAAAAAGAAAATTTGGGATTCAGAGAAGGGAGATATAGGGAGAAAAGAAGCCAGAATAAGACTACCTATTTACTCAGAAACTTGCTTGAGTTGAATCCACGTGTCCTTTGATCCATACTCCCAGGGTAAAGCCTGCACTTTTATTTTATGTAAGAAATGAGGTTAGTAGAGGGGATTGTCGGACATGATCTGTTGAGTTGTTGACTAGGTAAATTTGGTTGCTATACTAGGATATTGTATAATGTGCTTCTAAGGTTAGGATGTTTATGATTTGGTTTGTACAACTAGAGAGATGATGACCGAGTTTTTAAAATCTTTTGAGTCCCTGCTGTTTTCAAACCTCTTTCAGAGAGACTGCCTATTTGTTTTGCTTGAGGACAAGCAAAAGGGTAAGTCTGGGGGAGTTGATCGACCATGGATTTTACTCATTTTTAGCCATGGTTTATTGGTGTTTTTATGTATATTTACTACAGTATAGAGTCTATTTAGAGTTTTTACAGGTTCAGGTACGTTTTGGAGAAATATGGTGATTTTGGTGTTTTTTGGAACCTTTAAGTGCAGAACTGCGCAGACGCGTCAGATGTTTAGATCTGGATGGAGGCCTTCCCATGCTGTGATTGAGCGGATCGTTTGACACAAGATATAACTTTGAGTTAGCTTTCTAATGTCACCGGTTTGGGGTCAATCCAACGGTTAGATCAGAAGTTATACCCGTTTTACTGAAGAGTGGTCAGTCTGTCTCGCAAGAGAAGGCTGTCGAGAAGAGGAATGTATATCGATCGATGGGAAAGCCTTCATATCGATCGATATGAATGCCAGAATGCGGGCCGAGTATATTTCGTGACCAACTGAGGCCCAGAAGAAACCTAAATTACCAGAATGCCCTTGGACGACCAGAAATCCTATTTATGTTATTTGCAAGCCATTGTTGACGGCTACGCTTTGTTTTTTCATCTTTTATTTCATTTTTATTATTTAGAGAGTTGGAGAGAAGATCAAAGCTCTTTCAAAGATTGATTGAAACTCCATTGGAATTATCTTTATTCTCTTATTCTATTATTATTCAGACTATGATTTGTGTTTCTTCTATCATGTTTGAGTAGTTCATCTTGTTAGCTTTATGGATTTCATGAGCTTAATGTCAAACTGAATGATTAGGATTGCTAGAATATCTATAGATCTCTATACCAGGGTGATTTGTAATACTAGGATCTGGAGTAATTAGGATATCATGAAAGTATGGCTGATTGCTTGAACCTAGAATCATAGGACAATTGAGATGCACTAGAGTGCAGTCAATTAACGGAACCTGAATCCTGCTGGATTAGATACTTAGACACATATGAGAATTGGTCTAGGAATCTAGTTGAACATAATCGATTAGGTCGTTTATGCTTGTCTGAGGTAATATCGATCGACGGTCAGGCCATAGCATCGATCGATACTCATGTCTTGTTGGCATGCGAAAGCTGGAACAAGAACTTACACATCTGATTAGTAATTACATTGATAGATGGGTTACTTATTTATTAAAATCGAGTTCTAGAATGAATCTATAAGCTATTAGCATCTTGAATTGTAATTTTGAATCTCTTGATTGATAAATCCCTAGGTCTAGCTATTTCTCCTTATTGCTTACAAACTCAACCAATCGAACAAATACCTTGTTCACATTGCTTTTATTTACTGTTTTATAAACTATTTACCTAGCTTAACTTTGATTTTTATAGTCTATTGTGTGCCCCTGCTCTCTGTGGATTCGATCCATTATTACTACAATTTGACCTCTTTTGATGAGAGTAAAATCACTCCTTAGGGTAATTTGAGTGATATCAAGACTACTAGACCACCATGATGTGTTTTTTTTATTTGGATATATCATCGAATACAATATTTAAATACAAACATATTTGTGTTGATAGTTTGTATTTGTATCTAGATACAATATTGGGTACTAAATTGTTTATTTATTAATTTTACAATAGCATTTGAATGCAACTAGTTAAAAAAATTAAAATGATTTATTTATATTATTACTAATGAATCTCAATAAATATGTTAAAATTATATTTATAACATAATAATTATAATATTCTAATAATCTTTATTTTATTTTAAATAATATTTAATATTTTATTCTATTTAACTAAAATTTAGATTTAATAAATTAAGATTTTTGCGAGCTTGACGAGAAAATACAATTTTGTGGTTTAAAAGGAAACATGTAGCGGTTATAAAAGAAAATTATAATTTTACATTTTTGGTGGGAAAATATGATTTTGGAGAAAAACACAATTTTACGGTTTTAGAAGAAAATTTCATCTTGCAAAAAAATACGCTTTTACTATTTTATCAAGAAATATGATTTTATAATTTTCACGGGATAATCCGATTTTGCAATTTTGACCCGCAGTTTTGACAGGATAATCTGATTTCCAATTTCTGTGAAAAAACTCAAGTTTGCACTTTTGCCAAAAATACTAGAGCTTTTCTAATCACAAGTTTCCCTTCTTCTTTTTGTTTTTTTTTGTTCTCGTCAAGAGTGTAATCTATAATATCCATGTGGCCTGTGGGCAAAAAAAATCATTTTACTTACCTCCTATTTAGGTTGTGAATGACGACATTTAATTTGTGTATTTTACTGCAGTTTTCGGAAGTTTATTGAAAAACTAGGGGTGTGCCGGCGCTGCACGCCGGATTCGTAAATTCTAATTTGTTTTTTTAGTTATTTTAAATGTTGTCAATGAAGGTTTTTTTCACTTATTTATCTGTTTAAATATTTATTTTTCTCTGACTTAAAGTAGTAGATTATTTTCTGCTTTCGAGGATAATGTATATGATGTCTTCACGTAAACATATAAAGGAAAGCATTGTGTGTGATGTATCAGGGAACCTTGTATTTTTCAAGTTGTTTTTATTGATCGTATCAAAAGCTTTGTAGCTTCTTTGGAGTAAAGTTTCGAGAGACGTCCTACATTGGGTTGTGTTTATTTAGAATGTCGTATTTGTTTTGGTTTAATATGGGAACGTATTTATAGTTTTTAGTCGTTATTTATATTTGTTTAATATTTCAAAGGATTTGTAGGATTTTGTGTTTTTCTAATTTAGTGTAGGCTTATATTAGAAAAAGGAAATTTGACTAAGGACTTTGGATGAAATTAAATACGAACATAGATGTTCAACTTAAACGGAAAATTCGTAACTACGAAATGGAAAGTTGAAGTAGAATGTGAATGTGTAAACATCATCTAGGTTTCCCGTATAGGACGTTCTTTAATCAAGGAGATCATTGAAACCCATTATCGTATTGTAGAACTCTTTTAGCAAAACGAACTGAAAACAGTGTGAGAAAACTGTCTTCTCCGTCCCCATGTTGAGGATGGCAGTAAGGTGGTAGCCACATCTTTATAATTGAGTTCGCACACATATCCTTCATGTGTAGTACCGGGCGTTCCAGGGATTGATGAAAATTTTCCATGCAATTTTCGAGTAGTGAAATTCCTTGGTCATCAGTGAGTTTGTTAATGGTTTTTACCCCTTTGTCAGTTTGGCCGATGGCCATAAGTAGAACACCGTAAACATACCTTCCTATTTTTTTTCATTAAATCAAACATGTGCAGATGCTCTAGTTGACTCTACAAACCATTACTCTAATGTCTGATGAAAAAGAAAGCAAACAATTCTGAGAATAAGGTGTAATAAACGTAAAACAGAGAATTATAACATCTCTTCAATAACAAAGACCAATTGTTGTGAAATTAGAAAGAACAATAACCATAGAGTTTAGAAACGAAATAAGATAGAGAAAAAAACAAAAGGGAAAAGCAGCAGAGCATTATTCGAAATGGAAGCAGAAGTGGGTGTTCATGTTAGGGGCGTCTCTCATCCCACATGAGCCTTATTCCTTCCATTTTCATCAACATCAGAATTGGATTTTCCCTGCGGTGGACGCTTATCACTTGTATTAGCGGAGGTTGATGGCTTATTTCCACCAGTGCCAGGGTTTCCCACCTAGCCATCAGTTGCTTGAGGAACAGCTCCAGGATGAGCCATTTCGCCACCGTCCTATGAATCACGATACGGAGACAGGAATAAGTGACTGTAGACAGCAAGAAATAAAAATCTCAGAGTCATCATTTATAAACATACATGTGTAGCAAAGGTGGGTGTGGGTGCTAGTGCACTCTCAGGAAAGATCCTGGAAATGGTGAAGGTCTGGTGTTTGGAGGAGAAATTGAAATCGTTCAACTTCAGTTGAAAAGTGTATGTTTTCCCAACAACACCAGCAAGAGAAAGTGGCAGGTCGGTGTCGACTTGAGCATCATGACCTACTCCCTGCAACCAGTTTAACATAAAACTTTAAATACAAACAATACGATAAAGGAGATTTACTAATTATTAGGTTATAAATCATACAGGTTTCAAACGAAATCAAATAGGGGGAAAAAGGATGAGAAAATTAGCAGAGAAGATGTACTACATATTGCAAAGTTAGTGGTTATAATTCTTACCACAATTTGTGCAGCCTCAGAAGCCTGAAGGCATGTCAATTTGGCAATTTCCATGTCAAAACCGAGGAAAGACGCGGTATCACTTTCATCTGACACAGTCATGGTCACACGGTACCTATTTCACTGGACAGTAATCACTTCAGTTTCATCTAAGTAACTGCTAGTAGGATGGTAGTGGTGAAGGTAAGATATATTACCTGAGTGCGGCCACAGCGTTGGTATCAATGCAGTGAGCACATGTGAATGATGCCGTTTCACGGATAAGTTTTTTTGAACACGTTGCACACCCAATGTAGCACCATCCCTCTTCTGTCTGGATACCAGTAACCTTAGCCGTGCAGAGGAACTCAATGATCTTTGCAAAACGCAGCAAGTATACAAACTTTAGAATAATTTTCACTGAAATAAGAATTTAAGGAAAAGACACGCACCTGAGGTTCTGCTGAGATACTAAACTTGTTAAGCTCGGAGACAGTAACGGGTTCTATCTTCTGGGCATGAACAATTTTCGATGACCCTGATCCTCCGTCTGTTCCTTCACCTGGCATTCTGCAAGTAGCCAGGAAAATTCCAAAAATTCAAAACTAAATAACCCGACCAGAGAGACAGAGTCAGTTCAGAACAACAAAGGGCTAGATCACTTAATGGTATACGAAGACTCACGTGTCAAAGACTTCTTTGCTGGCAGTTGTATCACAGTCAAAGTAGAGATGGGTTCCGGAAGTAGCATTCAAGAAAAGACGACCTTAGGAAATAAAAATCTGAAAAATATAAGTTTAGATATTTGTAGACCCAATCAGGTAAACATGTGCCCCACAAACCAGTGAGAAAGAAGAGCATACCACCAACAATCTTTGGATTAATGCTTGTGACTTTGACCGCTCTTGCCTCTTTCTTATAGTTGTCAAACTTGGTATGAAACGCAAGCGCCATAGAGTCAAACAGACTGACACAAACGTTTTCCCCACTGTAAAAAAAATACAGCTATACAGTTACAAACGTTTTTACCAACTTTACAATTATCTAGCTAAAGAGCTGAATCTTTAAAAAATAAAACCACCTCCCAAGACGCAAAGTAAGCATGACACGCTGCGCTCCTGGTATGCGGTCAGTTATCGTGCTCCTGATAGCATTCACCTCCCCAGTTATGTCTGTTAGAGAATGGATGGATTCAATAAATACAGTAAAAGGGAAACCAAGGACACCACTTACCAGGAAGCTGTTTCCCTGTGTTTGCAAGTTCTAGCAAACGACTATACGGCATGAACCGGAAAGACTCAGTTGGTATGGGTCTTTCAGGGTTCAATTTCTTGTCAAAGCTTGTGCCGTCGTTGAACCGTATCATCAGAGGAGCATCACATAAACGGAAGTTGGGGCTACTGTGGACAACGTCAAACCCACTCAAAGTATACACTGATCCTTCAGTGAGGCGATCCCGGAACCTGAGCTGACGAGTAGCAGCAACAGTTCCTTGGGTAACCGTCGCCTGTTGGAAAGCAGTAAGAAAAACAAAACAGAGAGAAACCGTCAGAACCATAACAGGAAAAATCGTTTAAAAAAATTGAAAAAGGAAAGAAGGTCTTACATCAGCATCCACAAACAGCATGTCAACACTCATCAATTCGCCACCTTTCCTCACGTTCCGAGCTTCCCCGGAATCGGAGTAGTCGGACCTCCACCGTATCGGAGCATCGGCCGGATCTCATGTCTGAGAGAAAGATGTTGAAAAGAGCCATGGTAATCTAACGAAAATGAACGGACAGTGATTTCTCTTCTCTCGGGAGTTGTGAAACTCACTTCTGTAAGAAAGGTTATTTATACATGAAGCAAAATAGGTCGAGCTATGAAGGCCAGAGTTCATCTTGAATGAGGGGAGGTGGAGTAAACACAGATAAATGTGGAGTAAAGGAGAGAAGAAGAAAAAGTAGTAATGGCAACCGCTGCATTGTAAGCTATGGCGAACTCTACCGATTCATGGCGTCGGCAGAAGAAACAAAGAAAGATATTTCCTGGGTTTCTTATGATTGAGAGGCCTTAAGATTAGCACGACCAAACATAACCATTAGCCCACACAAAAAATCGTAAGGCTCATTAGCAAAATAGATGCCATGTGTTTTTTTTCCCGATGGAGAGAAAAAGGCAATTTTATTAGTTAAGATGCCTTAATGTACCATTCACATTTTTCATACTGAAATTTTAATAATAAAACATCAAGACCTACTACAAGATTGGAATACGATTTAAAGAAACAAAGCCGACTGATATCTCTTGATTTTGCATTTTTTTATCCATCATTTTGATTCCCAATTTGACATTTAGAAGCATTTTGAGGGTTGAGAAAAAAAGAAGCATTGAGTTAATTTAGGTGCATAGCATTTGCATTTGTCATAATCAGGTGTAAGAGATGCTTCTTGGTGAATTTGGTGATTGGGGTATTTTTGAGTTAAAGGAGTGTCATAATCAGGTGTAAGAGATGCTTCTTGGAGAAGATGGAGGTGATTGGGGTAATTTTTAGTTGAGTGAAAGATCAACATGTATGAAAGTCTTAAAGATATATTTGGAAGTTCATCCTTTTGACGGCATAGTAGATTGAGTTTGCTTTCTAATGGATGTGGTTAAGTCATTGAATCTGTATCCAAGAAGTTATGATCGATTTACTAGAGGCATATTTTGAATCCGTAGATTTTTAAGTTTAGGTGTGAATTTGGATTTAGGGAGTGGCATAATATTATGGTTGGATAGTCCCGTCGGTCAAATTGCAATTAGTTAAATTTGCCTTGGATTTGTAGTCTTTTCCATTGTTCCAATTTAAATAAAAATAAATTAAAACAGAAAAATGGAGAAGAGCTTGTGAAATTTTACTTTTGGTAGGGAGAGCATATCAGACTTTGATTCAAGGTTCTAGGAAATCTTGAAAAAATGAAATAGTGAAGAATAGTATGTTTAGCATATAACTAGTCCTTGACTAAATAGAGATAACATTAGATTTTCAAAGACTTTAGTTAGCAAAAATTGATTGGTAGCGGAAAGTGATCCAAATTGTTATTGATTCTTAGAAAAGTGTCTTATTATGTAATTGTCTCCAAAAATAAACGCGAGATGTTTCTTATGTACACAAATACAAATCCACATTCATTAATAGTTCATATAAACTCTTCTGTAAACTGATTGGAGAAGACATGGGACATTTCCTTGTTAGGAGATTTGATATATTTTGCACCTGAGAGATTCACAATCTAAGTCAGCCACGAAGTCCATTGAGAGACTGTGGAAGAGGAGCTGAGTTTCTTCTCCGGTCTGTCTTTGGCAAATGCTTAGACATTATAGATTCCTACATAAAAATTAAAAAGATATACGATTGTAGATTTTGCAATGTTTCTAGATGATCATAGCAGTTGAGAAATCTAATAAGAGTACCTGTTCTTGAATTATACTTCGTGCCTCAACGAGTTGTGCTTCAAGTTCAAGCTCCCTCTCTGACGCTTCTGAGGTAATTGTTACTTCTTTCTGTGCGTCTACTAACTGACCCATGCGTTCCTTCATAACCCAATAAAAGAACATGTTACGTAGAAACGAAGCTATTAAAAAAGCTCGGAAGTGTCAACTTCGGGATACCACTTTTACCTTGATGGAAACCATCTTAGTGCGTAAACTATCTTCTATCTGACCTCGAGCCATACGAAAAGGTAGGTCGAAAACATCCTGTCAATTAAAGACATTTTTTTCCTTGTTGGTACTGATGGTTTTGATTGTTTATAAATTGAATCTTGATTTAGCTTATAATGAAATTAACGTACCGTCTTCCCGCCCAAAGGAGACTGAGACGGGTCGTCTAAGCTCGTTCTTCCATTAGCATTCAAGAAAGAACGCATGTCTCCCTGTCAAAATAACTATTGTCATTAATAATAGGATCATAAAGTTTCTCTCTTTTCAAGAAACGGAAAAGAAATAAAACCTGAGTGGATCGCAATAGCGCTCTCAAGTCGGTGTTCTCTGCCATTAGTTCTTGATTTTTAGCCTCGTATGCATCTACCTGGCAAGATCATATTGTACCCATTTTATAAGTATATTCATCCAATATAAAGCAATAATATCGTGTCATGCTAGTTACAATCTTTTTGTAGAAGTCAGAATCAGTTTTCTTCCCGCTCCATGTTCCACGTTGTCTCCCTTCTTTCTGCACACGAAAACTTTAAGTAAGCGAAAGATGCTGCTACTCTCATAAAACTCGATAAGTTCTTAGTACCTGGAGTAGATTCATGATCTCCATGCCTGATTTGGTTTCCTTCTTTTTCTCCATCAACACTTGGTTTAACCTCTCCTAAAACAAAATTAATTTTTCCCATGTTCAGTTTAATAAGATTCAACATATATTGTGAACAGAAGAAAGCACACCTGTAGCTTTATGTACTCTTTTTCTTTCTTCTTTGTTTCATGTAATTGTTGAGTCTTGACTTGCTTTCATAAAAAAAAAAGAAAAAAAAAAAACCAAAATGTTCAAAGAGCATAGCATTAGTACTGAAATTATCTTTGAAACGTGATCAAACCTGGTTGGCAATGACCATCCGCTGAAACTCATCTCTCTCTTTCTGTAGCTTCTCATTCTGCGCCTTTAAAGCGGCTGTGTTTTTGGCTTCCGTTCTTGTGACAGAACAAAGCTCCCTCTCCTTGGCTTGCAATTGATTCTCAAGTCTCTCAACTTTCGCCTCCAGTCTCGCCATGTCGGATAAAAGCCTGAAACAAACAAGAAACTGGTTTTTAAAACAAAAATGTTCTCAAACATACATAAAAAAATGTAGCATTTCCAGTAACTTTGTGCCCGAAACTTTTTGTCTTCTCTTGTCCCCACAAAAGAAATTTACTAGTAGTATACTCTCAAAACACACACATAAACCCAAAAACAGTGATACAGCATGATCTAAGATCACACAGCAATCCATCTTGCTCAAGACCAGATTCTGTCCGAAAATTTGGTCTTCCTTTGTCCACACGGAAGAATTTTACTAGAAGTATACTCTCTAAAACACACACAAAACCCAAAAACAGTGATAAGATCCACTCTATACATATTAGCAAGATCTAGATCACATAACGATCCAATATCATCTCGTTCATAGTGATAGATTTAGAAGCAATATATAACACATGAAGAAGAAAAAGCTTGAAAGTGCACATATAAAGATTGACAAAGCAAAGAAAAGAGTCACCGTTGTCTCTGATCATTAGTAGATTCTCTGAACTCCACATCACGCTGCCTCTGCTGAATCAAAGCGTATATGCAATTACAAGTCCTCGCGATCGAAACCTAATAAACAACAAATCTTATCGAATCAGAATCATGAGAGAAATAAAAAAAAAAGATTAAAAAGAGAAAGACGCACAGGATCGGTAGCGAAGAGGTCGAGAGAAGATGAGAATCCGTAAGTGACTAAGCTCTGGTTCAAGTACTTTACACAGTGCTCCAGGTTATCCACATCGGCGAAGCTATGGTCCCTGTTCGTCAAAACAGCGTCAAACCGAAGAACAAAAAACATAAAAATGTGGAGAGAACTCACCCGATCGTTGAGAAACCAAACTGCAGAAGAAGAAGAAGCAAACACAATGAGCATTATAGAGAAAGAGAGAGAGATAACTGGAGATTTGTGAGTGAGAGAGAGAGGAAGTCGTACTCTGTAATCGAATTCCGGCGCAGTGAATGACATCGTTGACCTCTACTATTACGACGGATCCACCGTTGACGCCGGAGAAGTAGGAAAGAGACAAAATCAGCTTTTCACCTCAAAAAATAAAAATAAAAAAAAAGTGAAGTCAAAAAAGGTAGTGAATGTGTGTCTCCCTCCGATAGATCTATCTTGGGGGAAGCGAACAGAGAGATAAATAAACTAAATATTATTATTATTATTAGTTTTAGTTTTGTACGTTACGGTGCACTCAATTATTCCGTGCTTCTTCACGTGATTAGTTAGTGATGCGGTTGATTTCGCGTGTTTGCTTACGTGGCGTAATTTAAGTGGTTGAGGATTTCATATCTTTGATAACTAACTAGCTGGATTATTGGGCGGGAGATGCCACGTAGGTATGGACATTTCCACCGTTTACTCTAGTTCGTTGGCTTCATGTCGTGTCGACCAATATCTTCTTTGTTATCGAGGACTTTTACCACTCCAGTTCGTCGGAGAGTCGTATGTGCCTAGCAATATTTTCTTCTTTTCTTTTCTTTTTTCTTTTTGTACAGGAACATTTGTAATTTGACCCGATATCCAAATTGAATGTAAAATCTGAATCTCTACTCGATTAAATTTTTAAAAATATCTGAACGGATTTTTTCGGATGATAGTGTAAATATCGATAACACTCAAACTAGATTAAAATCTAAATAAGTATTCAAAAAATGCAAACAAAAAAACAATCCAAATAAATATTTTTAATTTTTAATTAGTACCCACATTAGTAGGGAAAAACTAAACAAGTAACTCAATTAGGAGAAGAGCATGTATCCTTGTGATCTCCCTTATTCCATACGACTGCCAGATAGATTTTCTGTTAGTATGGTTGTACTATATTTCTCCATAAAAACTTAAAGAGTTTTCATAGATTTGGAGCAGTGCATGCGGTAGATGCTATTCACTAAAACATTACGCAAAATTTTTTTTTTTTTCAAAAAAAAATCTCAAATACGTAGTTCTATATTTATTTTTATTTAGTAAATTAAAATGTTGTTAAATGAATCTAAAATAAGTTCAGATTCAAAATAAGTATTGGCTGAGTTATAAAAATTAATTCAAATCTAAAATATTACTTGCATAATTCGATCCAAATATATATTTAATTTGAATGAGTCCTATAAATTCATAGGGAAAAAGTTTCTCAGCTACACGATGTTTACACTAATATGGTGGAAAACATCCAATGTATTGAAATGTGTCAAAAACTACACCAAGTTTATGTTAATACATGCCACATATACGAATTAAATAGTTATATAGTGACAACTTCGTAAACGGATTTAATTGATTTTTATCTAAGTTAATGAGGCCAATTTGTAATTAATAAAAGTTCAATTTAAAATAAACAACCGGACCCTACCTAACCCTACCCAATCAAACTCTAATAACCCGACTCTGGAACATCACCACAGGCTAATTATATAACCATACAAGAAATGAACGATACTTTTGATGTGGATTTTGCGCTTGCTACTCATGCGGTTTCGGATATGTGTGTCGTAGGGTGTTTTTACTTTTTGGATGTGAGATGTGCCTCCTTATCAGAACTGGTCAAGCCTCCATCTCATCCACATCCTTCAGTCTTATTCTGTGAAAAATAATATTCTAAAAATGTTCGACATTGTGAAAGAACATCATATCTAAGTTTTAATTATGTTAAGCGTGACTTTGTTTTATGTTTTTGTTGTGCCAGTCTTCCTTACAAAGTTAAGTATGAGCATGATGAGCATATGCTCAACCTTTCTTATGAGAAAAATGCTACTGGTCCATGGTGGTGTCAGATATGTGAGGAAACAACATATCCGAAGAAATGTTACTATGCATGTAATGAGTGTGGAGTCACATTCCATGCTGAATGTCTACTAGGAGACGACATAGACAATATATGTTCTTACGAGACAAGTTTGAGATCATTCCTACCAACCGACTTAGCCGACCTATCTGTCATGGTTGTCAAAACAGCTGTTAATACAAGATTGAATTAAAATTTCAAGTGGAAAATATTTTTTTTTGCTCACCGAGATACTGTATTAATTATGTTTATATATTATTTCTTGAACTCTGTGATAATAGATTGTTGTGATAGTAAATTCTGAAAATTAGTTTCTTCTGTTTCTTTCTGAAAATTTATTTTCTTCTGTTTCCAATTATCTCTTCTTAGTTATTGCTATGTACAAAATAAAAACGCTTTGTAATAAATAATACTAAAGCTTATTTTGTTATCCAAATAAGATATTGCAGGTACATATCAAATATCCAATATTAAATATCGAATCCACCTATTAAAAAGAATATTTACAATGAAAAAACAACAATTTACTCTATTAATATAGAATATATTTTATAAATTAATTTTTCTAAAATTACATTAAAAACTATTCAATTTCTAGAGTCTTCATTAATGATAATTTTGTTTGTTTTCACCTGCGTTTTCGAAGCAATGAAAATTTCAAAAGTAACCAGATTTAGAAATTTAGTAATAATGTTTTCTAATGATACAAAAAACATAAAAAGTTTCACAAAGTGGTAAACTAAGTTAAAGTTATGAAATTTAAAAAACAGTTACGCAAACTATAAAAATAATTTTAATCATCGGATGTCTTTAGAATGAAACTATGAGCAATTATCAAGGATTGACAAAAAAATATTACGTATAAAATATTTGATAGTATTAATATCGAATAAATACCGTCAACCTAAATAATATATATTGTATACAATAAATATGAATAGAATATATATGTTTTGAAGTAAATTGGAGTACAAAAGTGTATTTGGTGACATTAAGTCACCATTGATTTCTTCAAAAAAAAAAACATAATATTATAGAGTAAAACAATATATAACATCAAATCACATGTACTTTAATTATCGCTTTGTCATGTAAACCAAAATTTAATAAATTCTCAGATGCATTAATACCCCTCTTGTTCCAGAAAGTCTAGCTCTCAAAGAAGCACTCAGATTTTACAGGAATCTAGGTGTGAAGAATATCAGATGTGGATCAGACTCTTCCCTACTCATCAAAGCTATCAAAGAAGGAAATTATAACATAGAAATCTATGGGATTGTAGATGATATCTTATGTATGCTTGATTGTTTGAATTCATCTCTTTTCAGTGGATAGCTCGTGAAAAAAAAAACATGGTTGCAGACAATTTAGCAAAAAAGTGCTTTGTTAGACCATCTTCAACCCAAACTTATTTTATCCTCTATAATTTCTACAAAAATAGAGTAATTATATTTTAGAGTAATTTTTACTCCAATAATTTACTCTAAAACAAAGTTACTCTATTATAGAGGAGAAAATAGAGGGATATCACTTTATTGGTGATAATGATGTAATGGCATTTGCCTAACTACTTTATATTTAATGAAGTTTGTGTTTCAACAAAACAAAAGGTGAAAACACACTTAAAATACAAATATTTTATTACTGTTATCCTAATTATGCAAGTAAGAAACATATAGTAACCAAATTTAAACAATGAATCAATTAACTTAAAATTTAAATCAATGATTTTCAGACAATTCACAGAATTAAATAAGAAAATATTAATTAGATTTGTTATTTTAACTATCCGTGAAATTAAGATATATTTAACTAAAAATATTAAGATATACTCAGATAGCGAAAAGTGAGAGAAAGAAACAAATCTTTCCATTGGAATGACAATAGTGAAGAGCGAGAGAAATATACAAGGGGTTTCTATTTTTTCACCAAAACCGAAAAAGAAATGATTGTCACGTCAAATCGACTCACTTTCCAAAGAGAAAAAATCAAATCCCTTGATTTTCATTAATCAAAGCTTCAGGTCAAACCAGCAATGAATTAAAAATATAAAATAGAATCTCAACGGATTTTAAAAATCATAACCACCTCACAAACATGTCACTCCGGTAAGAATCAACACCCGGCCTAGCTAACAATCTGAAACACGCTAGACTTTGGGGGGTTACTATTAAAGGTGGATTTCATCCCACTTCATACGCGGGTTAAAGATCCGGCCCAATAGCCCAAAAACCAACTAGGATGATGTCCAAACTATACAAGAACCAAATTTATCACAAACCCAAAGAAAATTAATTTTACTTTGACTGGTGAACTCATGACTTAAAATAGATAGGGGTAATCAATGGTAATTTAATGTCATCAAATACACTGTTGTACCCCAATTTACTCACAATCATATATTTTCTATTCATCATGATTGTATCAACAATTCACGATCAACAAAGAAAACACATTTTTCACTTTCAACATACCAAAATATTTATTTGATATATTAATTGTGTTATATGTTTGATCAAATCCTAACCTTATTTTTGAGTGGATCCCATTAACGCTTCTATTACAGCTTCTCCAAGATTTGATCAGTGGTCAGTAAATCTAATAACCCCTAATGTGATTGTGGCCTATAGTACAGCTGTTCAGGCTGTGATTCTAAGTGGTGAAGGAAATGAAAAGGTCCAAGACCTTCTCTTGCTTCATGTGCGGCAGATATCAGATATTCTTCAACAATTGTCCAATATTCTACACGCACACAGTTCGCGTGGACTTTCGAAACCGTAAAAGTGCAGTTCAAGCAGTGCAGATCAAGTGGTTCATGCAGATTAAGTAGGATAAGTACAGATCAAGTGGGATAAGTGCAGATTAAGCAGATCATGCAGGAAAAATGCAGATCAAACAATTTATTATAAATTATGAATGAGAAAATCAGTTCAAAATTATAGATCATATATTAAAATAATAAAAAAAATTATACTGAAATATCAAAAAAATATCGCAGATGTTGTAGGATCGGTTGAAATGTCTGTTAAATTTTTCAGAAGATATTTTTACTTCTTCTATTTTCTTTTTAGTTGATCAAGATTATCTTTGAAGAACCGGCAGGTTACTAATATTAAACTTTTTTGTTGATATTTATATAGAAACAATATATCTTCTTCTTTGAAAATATTGTGTTGGTCTGTGATTGGATGTCATGCTTATAATTTTAAAAGTGACATGCTTATAACTTTAAAAGTGACACAAATACTATTTAGTGTGAACTATATTGTTTGAGCTAATCACTATACATTATTTATAAAATCATATAAATATATAAAATTAAATGTGTGTAGTAAAATTATTTATTAGTAAAAAAAGCAAATCAACACCATCAAATGTTAGCAGATGAGATTTGCATGCAAATCTCCAGTTTTTTTTCATAAAAAGATAGAAAATATTGAACTGCAAGCGAATCTCCCGCTTGAACTTCTTTTACAAACAAAAAAAAGTGAATGGTAACTTTAGTGCAGAAGAACTACACTTGTCCCGCTCCTCCATTCGAACATTTATTCTTAAATTAAACTATGACAAGGGATGCAATAATTAAGAAAAGGAATATAGAATGTCTCCAAAACAACAATTTACTATTCGCTCCATTTTTATATATGGCATTTTAGAAGTAGACACATAGATTAAATAAACATTTATATTTTTAAAATTTCTAATAAAAGTATTATTAATTGTACATTTACTCATAATTTGAATAATAGTAATTTAAACTGTATAATATTATTGGTCATACAACATTAACTATAAAAAAAAATTACCTTGAAAATTAAAAACATCACCTAATTTGGATAAAAAAAATTCTTTAGAACATCAAATATTTAAAAATGGATTGAGTATTACTTTGTATAAGATATAGAATATCAATACAGAATATAAGAAGAGTATTTATACTTGGGTTTTGGGTGAAGAAGATGCCTTACAAATAAAAATAAATGAAGCTATAAACACGAAATTGTCTCCAACTTGGTTTTATATATTGAGTAAATAGATTTTGCAACAGCTCACTCATAAACTCTCAACATCTATCTAACCATAAAAACTGTTTTCAATATATCATTTATGAGTTCCATCGACTGCCCTTCTCTTTCTTCTTTCATATGTCTTCTCGTAAAAGAGAAAGATATAGTAAATTGGTTCCCGAAGAAAACGATTGGTGAAACAACTTATCTCATCATTGACAAGTCTTACATCTCTGTTGTTCAATACAAGAACACTTTAAATTCTCACCATCTCCGATCGGTTCTTGGATGCAACAATAAAGAAGGCGAACCAAGCGACCACTACTGCTGGGCGTGTAGAAGTTATAAAACTGGTACCTCTATTTTTATTATTGCAATGAGTGATATTTCTATTACCACAAAGAATGTGTTGAGTCTCCTCCTTTATTCATTTCCTCTTTCCACCCAAAATATGCTCTTCAGCTTCTCAAATATGATAGAGGTATTAGATGTGAATGTCTTTGTTGTGGGTTGGAAATTTACAGATTTGTTTATCATTCTTTTATTTCTGATATTTTTATGGATTCTATTTGTGCAAGAAAACGAGAGTTTCTATTATAAACAATCCAGAAAGGCATTAGAACACCCTCCATTACTTTGCAAGAAAAGCACCACTTACTTGCGATGTTAGTGCATCTGATGATACCAAAAATTGCTTCTACTTTTGCTTTCAATGCGATTTTATTGTCCATGGAAGATGTATCAACTTGGCACACATCATATCATTATCTTGTTACAACCACCGTCTTTCGTTTACTAGTTCTCTTCCTTTAGGAGATTCTTGGTTTTGTGGAGTTTGTCGCCGGAAGATGGAAGAAAACTATGGATCATATTCTTGCACAAACAGTTGCGCCTATGCTGTGCACACTAAGTGTGCTACTTTGCTTGATTTATGGGCTGGGAAAGAACTCAAGGACCAACTAGAGACGGAATATGATAATATTGAGTCGTTTTAAAAGATAGGTGATGGAACTATAAAATATTTTCACCTTTGCGCACCATCGCACGAGACGTATTGAAGATATTGAAAGAGTTTTTGATGCAAAACAACAATATTGTCAAGTGTGCATACTTTCTCTTTATGATGACAATGCTTATATATGTATGAAATGTGATTTTGTTCTCCATGAAACATGTGAAAATCTTCCTCGCGTAAAACATATTGAACATCGCCATCGATTAATTCTAATACCACCACCAGTTACAAGAGAAAGTTTTTATTGTCGATTTTGCCATCGTTACTCGAGCGATTTAGGATACCAGTGTGGCGAAGGGTGTTCTGATTATTTTCTGGAATGTGCCTCCTTATCAGAACCGGTCGATCATCCATCTCATCCACATCCTTTCTTCTTATCCTCTCAACGACAAACCTATCAAAAATGTTTGATATGTGAAAGAGATGTAGATATAAGTTTAAATTGTATTGAACGTGACTTTGTTTTGTGTTGTCGTTGTGCCAGTCTTCCTTACAAGGTTAAGTATCAGCATGATGAGCATATGCTCACCTTCTCTTATGAGGAAAATGCAAGTGGTCCTTGTTGGTGCCAAATTTGTGAGGAGACAACAGATCCGAAGAAAGGATACTACACATGCGATGAGTACAGAGTCACATTGCATCCGAAGCTGAAGGAAGGACAACCATATATGTACTACGGACGCATGATTGAGATCATCCCTAACAACCGTCTCAGCCGACCCATCTGCCATGGCTGTGGAAAACGCTGTCAATACAATGTAGTATTCAAAAATTATCTTGGAAATATATTATGTCCGTCCATGGAAGTACTATATAGGTAATTTTCGGATAAGATATTCTGAATAACTATTTTCTTCTGTTTTTAATAGTTCTTCTCAATTATTGTTATGTACAAAAGAAAAACACTTAGTAACAAAAAGCTTATTGTGTAATTTTAATAAAAATGTTATTATTTGGTAATGTAGAACATATATAAGAAAAACTGGAATCTCAATCTACTAACAAGCAATTTGGTACCAAAATACCTTTTATAGGATTTAGAAAGGACTTTTGGGTACATTGTTTAGATTAGCCCTACAATTTTTGTCCGCCAAAATTTTTTTTTTCAGATTTCGGTTTAGTTTTGGTCTTTGGTTCGGTTTAGTTTGGTGGGGTTTAGGAAAATGGTTCGGTTTTCGGTCGTTTTTTTATTTTGAAAAAAATAATATATATATATATATATATTTTTATAAAATGCAAATATCCGATCGACAATAACCAAAATAACCAAACTGAATTAACCGTACTAACCAAAAATAACAAAAATGAACCAAAATAACCAAATTTACCTAAAAATATCCAAGTTTTAAAGAAAATTATGCCAAATTTCAATCGAAACCAAAAAAATTGGTTATTTTCGAAAATAAATGTGAAACTGAAAGTAACCAATAACTGAATCAAAATGTAATTCAGTTAATTTTGGAATTCTTTTTAAAAAAAATTGGTTAACGAAAAACCATAAATTTGGCTCAGTTCATTTTCGAAAAACTGAAATCGCAGAGATAGTTTAGATGCACTAGTGGATCTATTCGGTTGGAGATTCAAGCTTTGTTTTACCATTATTTATGGATAACCATCTTTTTATATACTTCATCTGTTTTGAAATATTGGATGTTTTAAGAAGTTTTGAAGTTTCAATATATAAGATGTTTTCATATTTTTAGGTAAATTTTAATTTTATCAAAAATGTATATCCAATCATATTTTACAATGTATTTTGTAATTGGTTGAGTAGTTTTTAATTTATACATTTTATAGTATTTTAATAAAAAGATATATTTTAAAAAAAATATGAGTCTTACCTAAAACATCAGTATCTTATATTTAGAAACTGAGGGATTATTTAGCTTCCCGAAGCATACTTTTTAAAATAAATCTGTATAGTTTAAAAAGAATTGATGTCCTTAAACTAAACTTTTTATAGAATTATATTTTGTTCCTTAAGTTCACTGGAAATAAGATGAGGTATCTTATATATTAAAACAGAAGTCACAACATTGATTCATGTGTGATTTTTTAAAATCATTTTTATAAAGATCTTTAGAAGATTTTGTTAGAAATAAATATCGTTTTCTGTTTCAAATAAATAATCTTATCCAACTTAGTGTATTTCAAGAAATTTTCCAAATAAAATATTTACTATAAAAGTATTTTGTAAGTACAATATATTATAGTTTCTCTTTTGGAAATATTTTTTGTTTTTCTTAACAGTATCTCAAAATGATTGAAAATAGCTGCTTTGAATGGCGTCTTTTGTTAAGAGATTTTCTCTCAAAACCAAATACTCTTCCAGAGTTAGAGGCTTTGCTTCAACCAATAAGGATGGAGATAACTTTCGGAGGGTTTTTTTCCTTGCCGCGAAACAAATTTTTTTGGAAAATTTCCAAAATTCTGCTCAAGAAATCACGGAAATATCGTCAAATATTCTGTTTTCCGTCGAATCTTCAAAGACAAAAGGTGTTTTTGTAGGGTTTTCATATCAGCCGCCTTGTCCTCATCTAAGTCTACTGACGCAAGAGAACCCTTCCTGGTCTCAAAACTTTCTGTTTCTGCTGCTAATGGACGGGGGACTTTCTCAGGTATAATGAAAGCGATGACATTAGAAGAGGATTTACCGGTGACGCTAACGGAAGATGAGGATTTCAGTGCTGCGGTGCGTAATGGAAGGAGTCTAATTGGGAGACTGTTGAACCCTGAATGTCAAAACATGGCACGGATGCTTCGTACGATGCCTAAGATCTGGAAAGTGTATGAACGTGTGAGAGGGATTGCTCTGTCGAAGGAAAGTTTCCAGTTCATATTCGACCTGGAAACAGATCTACAGACTGTGATGAAGCATGGTTTCTGGACCTTTGATGATTGGGGGATGGTAATGGATCGTTGGGTGGAGTTTACTCCGGTGGATTTCTTACAAAAAGCCTCGGTATGGATTCGTCTTCACAAACTGCCGGTCAACTATCTCACTCTAAAGACCATAAGGACTATCTCCAATCCTATTGGTCATGTGAGGGATATCGAGTTCGACCCGGAAAAACCCCATCTACAGAAATACGTCAGGGTTAGGGTCATAATGGATCTTCAACAACCGGTGAGAGAGACGAAACTGGTGAATCTGCCGGGAGGGGGAAGTACTACAGTCTTGGTGGAATATGAGCGTTTCAAAAAGAAGTGCTTCCACTGTTTGAGGCTATCGCATGAACAGAGGAGATGTCCCCTTAAAAACCAGAGGGATGCTGGAGAGAAGGACAAAGGAAAAGGGAAGGAAGTCGCTATTGCACCAGTTGTACATCGTCAACACCATAATGACTTGGTGGACAAGCTAATGCCCTTACTATCTACTCCAACAGTCCCTCCAGGTTTTGCTCCACGCTCTGTAGTAGCTCCTGAGGTTTTCGAAGAAATGCAGACCTACATGAACTGCATTGACCCTGAAGAGCGACGCATAAGGGAGATTAAAATGAGGAAAGCACTTCGGGACTTATCATCTAATGCTGGAGCACAAAGCTCATACCTACGTCTAGAAGACCACCCAACAATCTCTGGGGTGCAGAACAAGAACGTGGGACGAGTATTTGATTTCCGCATGTCTGAAACGGAGTCTCCACAGAATCACAATGACCAAGGGAGGACAAACAACTTCATTGCCCTAACGTATGCAAGAGGTACTCCATTAGCTACTTATGAAGAGGTTAGCCGGGAGATGAGCCTTTCAAAGAATGATATGTTGGAGACGACAACAAAACTGATGATCAAGGAGAAATCTAAGAGTATAGCTGAAGGTTCAGGAGAATATGTTCCTGCAGCACCAGAGGCCGTATTCTCAATGGGACATGACAATCAAGCATCGTCTGGCATGAGCGGCAAAAGCAAATCTTCTAAACGCAAGGGAGCTTCATGGAAGCGTTTTAAACAGAACACGGGAGCTGGTACTGCGACAAACATAGAGAATGGTAAGAACAGACAAGAGAATGAGGATAACAAGATAAAGAGGAAGTCTTCGGAGGAGGCAGAGGTCTCTTCAAAGATGTCAAAACAAGCTGGAGGTTTGATGGTTCACCAGAAACCATCCAATCCTCAATGACGACGCTCAGTTGGAACTGTCGGGGTTTGAGAAGCGTCTTGACAGTTCGACATCTAGAGGAGATGTGTCGTGAGCATCTTCCAGATTTCTTGTTTCTCCTAGAGACTAAAAACTCTAGTGATCACGTTGGAAGTTTTAAAAGATCGTTGGGTTATGACCACAGTTTTCTGGTGAACCCAGTGGGTCTTAGTGGAGGTTTGGCGTTGTTTTGGAGAGATTCACATGAAGTTGAGATTCTTTCATCAAGTGATAGAATTATTGATGCTAGGGTGAAGCATCGTGATCTGCTGTATTATATATCCTTTGTATATGGAGACCCTGTTCGTCATAAACGACATATAGTTTGGGATAATCTCAAGACTATTGGCCTCAACAGGAATGCTGGATGGTGTCTTGTTGGAGATTTCAACGAGATGATGAATACAGGTGAGAAGAGTGGTGGACCTGATCGGGAGGAATCCTCTTTTTATTCGTTTCGGACTATGGCTAGGGTCTGCAAGATCAAGGAGATTCCGAGTTCTGGTGATAGGCTTTCATGGGCTGGTTCCAGAGAAGTCTTGACTAATGGGGTGAAAGAGAAGGTCTGGATTCAGTGTAGATTGGACAGAGCTTTTGGAAACTCTGAATGGTTTCGACTTTTCCCGAGATCGCACACGTATTATCTGGAAAGACTTGGTTCAGACCACAGACCCATACTTACCCGCGTAACAGGCTCAAGTACACAACATGTGGGCAGGTTTATGTATGATAAGCGATGGAGCAACAAACCTGAGGTTGCAGAGATTGTCAAAAGAAGTTGGAATTCGCCTCAACACAGTACGGGTAGCTCAGTTGCTGATCGCATTGCCTCATGCCGCAAAGCTCTGGCAAAATGGAAACGTAATGAAGCCAGCAACTCGAAGAAGATGATTCTAAAGCTGCGTACCGAACTTGAAGAAGAAGAGAAAAAGACTCATCCGAATATACCAAGAATGATCACCTTCAAACTGTAATTAGCTAAGCTGTTTCAAGAGGAAGAAGAGTATTGGAAGACCAAAAGCAAAAATAACTGGTTGTTAGCTGGAGATAAAAACACCAAGATTTTCCATGGATGGGCTAAAACTAGGAGAATGAAGAACAATATACCAAGCCTGACAGATAATGGAGGGGTGGAGCACACATCGGAGGAAGCTAAGGGTGATATCGCGATAAAATATTTTACTGAGCTTTTCACGTCATCGAATCCTTCTGATGCTACTGAGTTACTGCGCGATTTCACTCCGAGGGTGACGGAGATGATGAACACAAACCTGACAAAACCAGTAACTGAAGCTGAGATAAAAAGAGCAGTGAAAGCGGTCAAAAGTGACAGCTCTCCAGGGGCTGATGGCATGACTGGTCACTTTTTCCAACATTTTTGGTCTACTACTGGCCCACAAGTCATCACAGAGGTTCAGAGGTTTTTCACCGAAGGGCTAATACCACAGGATTGGAATTACACCCAGCTCTGCTTACTCCCGAAGAAACCTAACCCTTCCTTGATGACAGATTTGAGGCCAATCAGCCTTTGCGCAGTCTCGTACAAGATAATTTCTAACATCCTGTGTGCTAGACTTAAAAGTATCCTCCCGACGCTGGTTTCACCGACACAGGGAGCTTTTGTAGCAGGAAGACTTATCTCTGACAATCTGTTAATAGCTCACGAGATGGTACATGGACTCAAAACCAATCCAAACTGCAAAGGAGATTACATTGCCATGAAAACGGACATGTCCAAAGCTTATGACAGAGTTGAATGGAACTTTCTCGAAGTGCTATTTAAAAAGATGGGTTTTTCAGAGACATGGATCAAGTGGGTCATGCTATGTATCCGCTCAGTCACGTATACGGTGCTGCTTAATGGACAGACTTATGGAAGAATTACACCAGAACGTGGAATTCGTCAAGGCGACCCCTTATCTCCGTTTATATTCATCCTCTGTGCTGAGGCATTGGTACACGTTATGAATAGAGCTGAACTTCAGGGGGAGATCACAGGAATGAGATTAACGAAAAACTGCCCCTCCATACAACATTTACTTTTTGCGGATGACAGCCTCTTCCTTTGCAAAGCTACACTAAAAGAATGCTCCAATTTTCTGCATTGCTTAGAGTTGTATGGGAAAGCTTCAGGCCAGGAAATCAACTTTCAAAAATCCTCCATAACTTTTGGAGCAGACATTGACCCGGTGATGAGGAGACTGATATCTGAAGTACTAGAGATTGAGAATGAAGGTGGCGCAGGGGCGTACTTGGGACTCCCCGAGTGTTTCAGTGGCTCAAAACAAAAGTTGCTAGCCTTTATAGGCGAAAAACTTAGTAAAAGACTAAATGGATGGTACTCTAAAACGCTTTCTCTTGGAGGAAAGGAAGTGCTCCTAAAGTCTATTGCTATGGCTTTGCCTGTATATGCGATGTCATGCTTTCGTCTAACGAAGCACCACTGTCAAAAGATTATGAGCGCCATGTCGGCTTTTTGGTGGAATGCGTGTAATGAGAAAAAGAAAATACACTGGCTCTCATGGCCTGATCTCTGTAAGCCAAAGGAAGTTGGGGGTTTAGGCTTTCGTGACATAGAAGATTTCAACCAAGCTTTATTGGCTAAACAAGCGTGGAAGTTACTTAATGAGCCTCATAGCCTTCTTGCGCAAGTTTACAAGGGCAGATATTATGCTAATAAAGAGTTCTTGGAATGTGGAAAGGGGTACAGACCTTCATACGCTTGGCGAAGCATACTTTTTGGGAGAGAATTGTTGGAAAAGGGTTTGATCAAGTGTATTGGTAACGGGAGATCCACCTTGGTGTGGGGAGATAAATGGATATTGGATGGAGCTCCACGCCGCCCAGTCAACCGGCAAACACTTATAGATGTCAACCTAAAGGTCTCTGCACTTCTTGATGATACATGTAACTGGAATATAGAGACACTTTCATCTCTGTTTCCACCAAATGAGGTAGACCGCATCAGAAGACTTACACCAGGAGAGGCTGATGATTGCTACGTATGGATGACCTCTAAGCATGGAGCGTATACTGTAAAAACGGGATATGATCTGTTGGAGCAGGCGAAAGTTGTACCGGAGAATCTGATATCAAGCCAAGCTCGAAGTAGAAACATTCTAAAAAAGAGGGTATGGAAAATTCCAACTCTACCAAAGATTCGAATGTTTCTATGGAGGGCTTTGTCAGGTGCTTTAGCTGTGGCCGATCGATTGAATACCAGGGGCTTGGATGTGGAACCTTCATGTAAGCTCTGCACTGGGAGTCTTGAATCCATAAACCATGTGTTGTTCCAATGTCCTACGGCTTCTCATATATGGTCAGAGGCTGGTATCACGCTACCTTCAACCGTAATGCAGAGATCGATTGAAGAGAATTTCTCTTATGTCCTTGACCTGTTGGGAGATCAGAATAAGCCACAACATATTACACGCTCAATCCCTTGGATTCTATGGCTCATTTGGAAGAACAGAAATGCTGTAATTTATGCTGCAACACAGGATTCCACAGATAGACTTCTGAGTTTGATGTACGAGGAAGTGGAGCAATGGTTTACACTGAATAGGGTGCACTCACATCCCGGAGGTTATATGGAGAAGGCAGAGACGGCTGAGAGATGGTCCGCACCAGAAAATGATATCACAAAGTGTAATGTACATGGGAATTGGAGAAACATTCATCTACATAGTGGGGTTGCTTGGATTGCAAGAAACCAAAATGGTAATGTCCTTTTCCATGCTCGTGATGCAATAACTCATGCTCCAAACAGGCTGGTGGCAGAGCTACGATGCATTATATGGGCACTTAGGAGTCTCCTTGATCTACATATACAGAAGGTCACCATTGCAACGGATTATCAAGAAATAGTGGAAGCTATAACAGTGCCCCAGAAATGGCCAAAATTCAGAAGTCTTCTGGAACAAATAAGGAAGCTAAAGGAAGAGTTTATTCATATCTCTTTTAAAGCAGAAAAGGTTTCGGCAAATGGGATTGCTAGAGACATTGCAAAGAGTGTTTTGAGAGATGGTCGGCTCCAATCATATCTGGCTTTGGGAGGTCCCTCTTGGCTTCATGATCGGATTGCAAGAGAGAAAGTTTGAAGCAACTGTTGATTCTTATTTAGAATATTGTTGCTGCTCTTTGTATTTTTTCTTTTCACTTCCTTGTATCGCAAGGGTGATCCTCGATGGGGGTACTACCTATCTTTGATTGTTTCAATCAAACTCAGACGTTAAAAAAAAAAAAAACAGTATCTCAAAATACTTCTTTTATATTATTATGTAGGTCGAATTAAATTTAACTTCCATATATACATTTCAAATTTAGAAATACCACCAGAAATTATGTTGGTAACTTCCACATATTCACTAAAGCTAATAATATAAAATCTTTGTAATTATTTTAATAGTGATATAGTTTATTTTAATACAAATATTATTATTATCGTTTATAAAATGGTAAATAAAAATTTTCTTTTATTTTTATATATTTTATAATAATAAGTCGTGTGAAAATAAACTATTATATTGAACTAAATATGATAAACTTAAGTTGATAAATTTATAAATTTATTTTCATAAAATATAAAATATTTATGCTAAAAATATAATTTGTGGACAGAACGGCTTAGTATTTGCAAACTGTATATAATACATATATAAAAAAATTGACACTTCTTAAACTTTTGTATACACAATAATATATTAACTAAAACGAAGTTGTTTGGGGAAAATATGAATAAACATTAAAAATATTGCTAAAAAAATCCATATGAGTTAATATTTAGTTTTTTTTTTTGTAACAAGAGTTAATATTTAGAATAAATTAAATACAAAACAATTATTAGATATGTTGTGCCATGCATATATTAATATTTTCAATAACTAAATACAAATATAATACGATAAATATATAATAAGAAGCGAAAAATGTATATTTTTAACAATTGATTAATTATAACATGTAAACTATAAAATTATTGTATTTAAAATAATTATATAAATATTTAAATATATGATTAACATTAAAAATGTATACCACCAATGATCTAAAATAAAATTTTATGTATATAAACTGAAAACAACATCTGCGCAGTCGCACAGATCAAGATCTAGTTATATGTTTATTATTTAGTACTCTATTACTCTAAATAGTTATCAATAATCATCCCAAAAACAAATCCCAAAATAGCAAAATAACACACAACAAAGAAAACAAATTACAACAGGTTTAATGTTTAAAATACTGGTCAAAGTAGAGATTACAAAGCACAAACAAGAAGAGAAGAAGAAAGCTTACTATACAAGTGACGCTCCCACAAGAAGAAGAAACCAAACAAAAGACTTTCTTCTTTTGGGGAAACTGTTTAGCCACCATCAGAAAGAAACCCTTATCTCTTGAGACCTATTCGTCCTCCTCGAGTTCAACAATCTGCGCACGTCTCTGAGCAGCTTTCCTCCTGATGAAGAAGCCCCATCTCATAGCTGCTTTGATTTTTAGCCATCCAACAACAGGCTTACCCGATTGTGAACGGTCTTCCTCATAATCACCCATAGAAGAAGACTGACCAAACGAGTGGAACCCAAACCCGTCTTCCCCCATGTTCATTGGAGTTTGCGGGCCACCACCACCACTCATGCTAAAGAGTCTCAACAGCTGCTGCATATCATCGTTCTCAAGCATTTCATTACTTCTAGCCCTTATCTCTTCCTCTGATAAGAACCCATCACCTCCTCTGATTCCTGTGTTTGACCAATCATTAAAAGGGTTCATCTCAGTATGAGGCTGAACCAAGTGTTGGTTTTGGGATCCTGTTGGTGGACCTAGTGCTAATCTCCCACCACCAGAACCGTTGATCATGCCTTGTGATTCATGAGTGTTGTTGACTAGCTGGTCTTGAGGTGCAAATGAAGCGTTTCCATAGTTCATTATGTACGAATTAGTATCAGACTGAGCAGGGAAACTTGAAGCCGAAATCTGATTGTACACTGATGCTGAAAAAAACCAAAGAATGACTGTTAATTAGGTTGCACAACAAAAGGATATTGATTTAAAGATCACCTCACCTTCACCGGTTATGTCTGAATATGATGTAGAAGGTTGGCTTGGGACAGAAACTGGCATTGAGTAGTCTATTAAATCAGCTGTCTTGTTAACTTGGTTGAAGTTCATCAGTGACTTACTGTCATACTCAACAACTTGATCCCAGTTTTCATAAGCTTTCTTCACCAATGCATCAACATAACCCTATACATATAATACATCAACATTTTAGTAAGAGAGAAGAAACAAATCTATAAGAAGCAGAAAGACCACATCAACACCAAACCTTTTGGTTGTCAGAAAGAGAATCAGCAGGATAGTACTGCTTCCCTGAAATAAGACCACTAAACTCATAGATGTTGTTGAAAACAACACCAACTGAGTCCTCAGGATAGTAGACGTAAAGCATTTCACTCAAGACACATGTCTTTGAATGTTCTGCAAGTGTCTCCCACATCCTGTTCGACATTCCACTCCCAAGAATCTGAAAAAAAATTGAGAGTAAAGAATCATCATAGGTCCTGTTCGTTTTTTATGCTGGATGCTGCATCTAGAATGCAAATGCTCAGATGATGCAAAATCTATACATTTAGAAAATCTAGATATTTGAAATGCAAAAAAGATGCTAATTATTATTAGGTATAATATATTTTAAACTGTAAAATTCAATTTTTTTCCTCCAAAACCCGTAAAATCTAATTTTCGTAAAAATCATAAAATCGAATTCTCTCACTAAAACCATAAAATCACATTTTCCAGCCAATGTTCATCTTAGATGTTACAACCAAATACAAAAAAAGAACATGACCTAACTATTTCAACATCTTGATAAGATACAATGGATAGTGAGAGGGTGCACTTACAGTCCTTAGTTTCTGAGAATCTTTAACCATTAGACGAAGAAACTCTTTAACATTGTAGATTCCTGCTTTATTCAGTTTCTTATGGAAAGCTCCATCCTTACCAATCTTCTCCAACCTCCAGACTTCATCATCCAAAGCAGGTGGATAATGTTTCTTGTACACTGTAGAAAATAAACCATTAGAGAGAGTAACAAAAAAACGTTAACCAAAGAAAGGAGAAAGCATGAAACTTACACTCTCCACGATGGTCCTTGACAGTAAAAGCTTCTGTCTTCGCCTCGCGCACACGTAACCCCTCACAGTAACCAGAAGACACCTTTAACCCAAGCCTAAACTTTCTACATCTTATCCAACTCGAGTTATCCGTAAAGATAAGTTCCCCTAACGTCCCCACACCTTCTTTCAACGTCACCTGAACATCACCTGTCAAAAGAGGTCTCTTTCCTTGACGCTCTTTAACCAAATGACTCTCAAACTCTTCTTCAGTCCATCCTTCATCATCTTCGTTGTTGAAATCACCGTCAAGCACAACAACATCAAGCTTTGCAGAAGCTTCAGGGCCTACTGTCAGTACATGTCCTGTTGTGGCATCTAATAGTACAACGTGGATGGCAGCACCTTTCTCTCCTTCTATCTTCCCTCCAGTGAACAAAGGAACAGAGAGTCTAGACCTGAACTGCAGCTGCAAGTTCCTTCCACCAATGCCTTCTATTCGTTTAGGAGAAGATGACCTTTCACTGAGTCTTGCAGGGCCTAGCTTCGCCAATGCCCTCTCCACCTCTTCACTTACCACTCGGCGAAGAATAGGTTCTAAAGATGAGCAAAGTCTCTGTAAGCTATCCATCTTCAAAGCTTCAACAATTACACTGCAAGAAACATACAAAACACTTTCTGTAATTCAATAATCAATTGTAGATTTAAAAAGAGAGAATCTGAGCACAGGACACAACAGAACTAAAAGGGTTTGAAACTAAGACAAGGATCAACGTAGGTTACCTTGCAAGAGCGGGTCTTTTACGCTCAGGCTGCTGCTGCTGATTAGTATTATCATCTTCCTCAAGCTTTCTCTTTTCTCTCATACTATTAGTCCTCTCCATATATCTAGTCTGCATCTTTTCTCCCTAAAAGCTAAAAGATCTGTAAGAAGGAGACGAGCAAAAGCAAAGACACTTCACCAATCTAGAAACTGTGATCCGATTTGAAGGAGAGAGAAAAAAAAATACCTCAGAAATGGTGTTTGGTTTGGATAGAGAGAGAGAGAAAATCAAAAGAGGTTATGTTCTGTCTTTAATTAATTTACTTCAAGCACTTGTCTTGGTATGTGATTAGTCGACTACTTTGACTGGTTGTAGTACATTAAGATAAGTATTTGGTGCGGGCGTGACCACCGTAGGATTAGATTGCCGTCACTTTGGTGTTCGTTTATTGGTCGACAGTGTTGGGCCGGCGGCTAGTGTATGTATTTTTAGCACATGCTTTATTCTAAAGTTGGAATATAAAAATTAATACTTTGGAGTTTGTATATAAAGACTAATTATTCAAGCTTTTACACTATTATATTAGTGCAAAAGTACAAAAAAACATCATCATATCACTTGGGATAAGATTCAACATGGGTTTTATAATGGGAAAATTAGCATAAAAATCTTCAAAATAGCACTTACTATCACTTTAAATCTTAAACTTATTTAACTAGTATATTAAACATTTAACTTGACTTTTATATCACAAAAAAATCTTCAGTTTGGTTTACTTATTCATCAAATTAAAATTATGACTTGTTAACCTGCAATAGTAGATAGTTATTTTATTTAATTAATAAATATAATAATAATAAAACCTAAATGAAATTAGAAAATTACAAAAAAACAAAAATTGAATTTAATAAAAATAAAAATATTTTCTTAAAATTTATAAAGTTTTTAAATTGAAAATTTTACAACTAATTTTTTCTGAAAATGTCATCTAAAAGCTATTAAATATTCTCAGAAAAAATAAATAACTTTCAACATTATCACTATTAACTTGAACACTCTTTGTCATATCGTTATTAAGAATAACATATTTGGTTATATATATAATGAAAACAGTATCAAAATAATTGTTATCTGTATATAAAAAATTATCATCGTTAAAGATATCAACAAAATTAAACATTTTAAAATTTAACGTTATTATTAATTGTGATATGAAGAAAAGTGCTCTTTTTACTGGTGGTATATCCACATTATTTATTTTTAAATAACATTTCAAAGCTTTATATAATTTTATTTTA